TACACCTCTGGCTAAGCTGGCAGTATGGTCGCTCAGCTGTCGACTGGTCGACGCGCCGTCACGTGATTGTTGGGCGTTTGTTTTCGCACTGACCTTTCATAGTTCCCCCAAGAAACCCAGAGCCTAGCTGCTGGGAAAGCCCTCCCACTCCAGCATACGTCACTGCATGGGATTCCTTCCCCAGAGAGTGCAATGCGGAAGAAAAAGTCTGCGGCTCTTCACTCAATGTTTATCCACAAACTGGTCCTGGATTAAGCTCCAAAGTTTTTATCAGTCAGATTCCACCGTGAAAAATGTCTGTTTTATCCCCTTTTATGAGTTTTTGGCCATTGACTATCTTTAAATCGCTGCTTCCTGGTACAACAGTCGGCTCTGGAAGTGATCGCTTTTTTCTTCCTTTTTTTCCTTTCTTTTTTTGAAGCGAGTGGTTGAAGCAAATGGAGCATAAGAGCCCCCTGGTGGCTGAAGAAAAAAATCCACGTATAAGCCGCACCGGACTATGAGCCGCATGGTTCAAACTTCAGGAAAAAAGTCGCGGCTTATAGTCCGAAAAATGCGGTAGTTTGTCTCTTTTTAATTGTCTCTACAAGTAAACATACCAGCCACACACGTCCCCAAAGCACGTGACAGGTTTTGTTAAACAGGCACAGAAACATGGTAGTCTTTACATGTACAAGTGTTTCTGTCTACCTGAGTGGCCATAGTTACATCATCTCCAAGAACAAGAAGCTTCACGAGAACGAACAACTGTGATGTTTTTCCTCTTTTTCACACTTCACACATTTTCACCAAAAGCCCACAGAAGACAATTAGAAACCCTAAGTGTGGTAAACACTCATTTTTGCAGCCTAACGGGAAATAAAATTGTTGTTGAGGATAAACAAACTGGTAAGCACACTTTCAGATTTGGTCATTTGCCTCCATTTAGCTTTTGAATTAAACAAACGAGAGAGAGAAGCCAATATGAGCTAATTAAACTCCGTCGACTGATGAAAGAAACAAATGTCAGTCCGGGTTAACGGATACTGAGGTGAAATTTGATGTGGTTGTAGCTGAGAGTCATTCACAACGCACACTCTGAATGTGAGATCTTTGAATAGTGTGTAACAATGAACAAAACAGCTAAAACTCTGTCGTTTCTCAACATTAATTTAAAACACTGACATAAAGTTGGGTGGGGGGGTATTAAGTCTTGCTATGAAAATGCTGTAAACATCAAAAATAAGTTTCTATACTCCTTGAAATTGGCCTCTGTCTCCTTAAGAACCTCCTACCATTTCTGACATTCCCTCTTCACAACAATGCTTCGAGGGAGGGCTACTCTGTGGGGCGGGAGCTCRGCTGCAGACTGAGCTCTAGGGAGGAGCTTTGTGTAAATGGGCGGGGCTTTGTACCAGCACGTTTAGGCAGCTCCACATGGTTACAGGAGATTCAAGGATTTCTCAAACATGCATGAATAAAAGTCAAAGCAGCACTCTGAGTGCATTTTAACGATATACAGTATTGCTCAAATAAGTCAATTTTCCACGATACCCCCCTTTAAAGTGTAATATGCAGAAATTACAGGCCTTTACTTTTCTAATATCATTCCTGCAGATCAGAGTGAAGAAAGTCAAAACAACAATAACAATAAGACCTAAAGCAGCTGTAAGGCCACAATAAAAAAAGGAAAGTTGTACAAACTCAACACACTCTGCTTACATTTGAATGAGACTGTGGCCAGTGGTGAGGTGATTTTGTGTTGGTGCAAACATTTAACTTTATTAAGTTTGCGTCAGCATGAATAAAACATTCATATTATGTAAAAATGTCTGAAAGATTTCCTCAAGACTGAGCTCAAATATAAAACGGCAGCCAAAACCTAATTACAAGAAACTCAGGAACCCAGGAGAAGATGCACAACRCCTTTGTTTGTGCAGTTCTGAAAGGTGGGTTTATCAAAACAGAGAACTTAAAAACATAAGAAAAATTAGGCATTGTGAAAAGTTAAAAAAATATATTTTATCACTAAGAGTTTGGTTGTGAGGAAAATCTCATTTGGGAACTAACTAACATGAAAAACAGTCAATTTAAACACATTTTATTCCTTGGAGGTATGCAGATTGGCCCCAGCTACTACAACACCACATTTTAGCTCAGCATTTGAGCGTAAAAGCACCTGAAAGGCGAAGGTTAGCTAATCAGGATGTAGATGTTTTGCTGTTTAAAGGTGCCTTTCACGTGTTTGTGTTGCAGAGCTGGATGCAGAGGAATGGTGCAAGCTGCTGTGCCTGGAGTGTCTGGGCACCCGCCTGACGGACATCAGCCTGGGAGAGCCGGACCTGTTAGCAGCGGGGGTGCAGCGGGAGCAGAACGGTGAGTGCCCAATTAGTTCCCGCTAACACAGACAGCTATTCGGGGTCAATCTCGTTTTCGCTCAGTTCGCCGCCGAGCCGTTAGCTGTTGCATTCAGCGGCCTGTTTGTGTTAAAGCAACTGAGACTTCAGAGGGTCGGGGGAGTAGAGCAGCCACTGTCCAATTAGGCCTTGCTAATAAGGACCCGTTTTTTTTGTTTGTTTGTTTTTTTGTCGATATTTGATTTTTAATTTAATGTCAGAGCATTTAGTTGTGTTAGCGTGCTATCATTCTGCTTCAGAGGCATGTTTGGATGGGAGTGTGTGTGTGTGTGTGTGTGTGTGTGTGTGTGTGTGTGTGTGCAAGCTCATGTGTGACCAAGAAGAGACGCTGAATGCCAGAGCATTCGGTCTATTCAGATAGGAAAAAGCAAACACACTTAGATCTCACTCTTGCACACAATGCTCACACACTCACACACACACACACACACACACACACACACACACACACACACACACACACACACACACAC